CATGGTTAAATAGGTGCACCTGACTCACGGTTAACTAGGGATATAGGTGCACCTGACTCACGGTTAACTAGGGATATAGGTGCACCTGACTCACGGTTAACTAGGGATATAGGTGCACCTGACTCACGGTTAACTAGGGATATAGGTGCACCTGACTCACGGTTAACTAGGGATATAGGTGCACCTGACTCACGGTTAACTAGGGATACAGGTGCACCTGACTCACGGTTAACTAGGGATATAGGATACATATAAGGTGCACCTGCACCTGACTCACGGTTAACTAGGGATATAGGTGCACCTGACTCACGGTTAACTAGGGATATAGGTGCACCTGACTCACGGTTAACTAGGGATACAGGTGCACCTGACTCACGGTTAACTAGGGATACAGGTACACCTGACTCACGGTTAACTAGGGATACAGGTACACCTGACTCACGGTTAACTAGGGATATAGGTGCACCTGACTCACGGTTAACTAGGGATATAGGTGCACCTGGGTGCACCTGACTCACGGTTAACTAGGGATACAGGTGCACCTGACTCACGGTTAACTAGGGATATAGGTGCACCTGACTCACGGTTAACTAGGGATATAGGTGCACCTGACTCACGGTTAACTAGGGATACAGGTACACCTGACTCACGTTTAACTAGGGATATAGGTGGTGTAGTGGTTAGAGCGTCCGCCCGGAGAGCGGAAGTTCGCGGGTTCGATCTCCGGCCGTGTCATACCAAACGACGTTAAAATATGGTACTTGTTGGTCCCTGCCTGGCGCTCGGCTTTAATGGGTACAACAAGGATTGGTCGGCTCGGAGTCAGTATAATGTGTCTGAGTGGGGTATTCATGCTTCATACACACGCATGCATGTCGTCATATGAGCGAAATATTAAGCCCCATTTCACCTCACCAGAAAGGAAAATATTGTGGTTTATGGACTGTGTGACAGACTAGAAGTAAACGTGTACTGAAAAGCTCAAAGGAAAGGGTTATCAAGCTGAACAAAGCACGGTCATAGTGAACATATGCCACGGCATTCTCAACCCGGTTGTCTTGTTTCTTGTCCGCTGAGCGACAAAGGCCATGTATCAGCCGGCTAATCCCCTCCGGCCCTCTAGCCCTTAATACAGGACACGTCGTTAAGGGCCTCTATGCGGGTCTGCCAGGCCTACGAAACATGAACATAAGTTAGGGATAACATACCGTGTAAATCTCACTGTTAAAATGTTTAAACGATGGTGCGCTTTGATCTTAACAGATTGATCATTAAACTGTATATTTTGAAATATTTAATTTGCATGGCTATAATATATAGGAAGGCATAAAACACGTGTGTTTATGTGGGCTAAACTGCAGAGTAAGTGAGGTGAGGTGAAATTGGGTTTAACGTCGTGCTTGAGAATATTTCGCTCATATGACGACGTGCATGCGTGTGTATGTGTATGTGCGGCTGCTTGTACTAGCCCAGACTTAAAGGAGAATACGAGTCAATTGCAATAATTTTCTGGTGAAAGATAAGTCATCAGAAACATATTCCCAAATATTTTCAATTAAAAATTATGCATAATTATGTTTTAATCGCGAAAACAGTTTCTGTAAATCCATATTTTGCTGGAACCCACGTGACCTTTCCGCTCGTGACGTCAAATGTGCCTGGAGTCCGCCATATTGCCAAAGACCAAGCGCTACAGTAGTACAAATCGTGTTGTTTCTGTCGTTTTTTTAAATGGTACGATGGTGTATTCTGTTGCCTGGGGATGCACGGAATCATCGAACAATGGAAAGCCACCATTTCTTCCGTTTTCCAAGTAAAGAGATAGACTTAGGCAGGAGAAATGGTCCGATCATTCCGAGTCGGACGCATATGAAAGAGACAAGCACACATATGGGGCATACAAATCCCAAATCTAGGCTGAAGAAGGAAGAATTACCCACGAAATTCATTTATACTCCATCATTCCCTGTTACAGCTTACTGTCAGTGGGGGACGATGGGGCAGTCTAGTGGTTAAAGCGTTGGCTTGTCACGCCGAAGACCCGGGTTCGAATCCCCACATGGGTACAACGCGTGAAACCCATTTCTGGTGTCCCCCGCCGTGATGTTGCTGGAATATTGCTAAAAGCGGCGTAAAGCCAAACTCAGTTAGTCAGTACTGTCAGTGGTATTTTTAACATAAATTTAATCAAGTACGATTGCCAGTCGAATTGCCCCCGCTGCAAACTGCACCAGCAAATTTGGTCAAATTGCCCCGGAGTTTTGGTCAAATTGCCCCAGGGGGGTAGTTAAAATGCCCCAATTTATTTAAAATGATTAAATATAGGCCATAAATGCATAGTTTTGTCAACTTTGATATTATGTTCTTCATATAAAAGTATATACATAGTTATGAGTTTACTGATGGAACATTTATCAGAAATATTACTTCTTAATAACTTTTACATGAAGAACATAATATCAAAGTTGACAAAAACTATGCATTTACGGCATATATTTAATCATTTGAAATAAATTTGACCAAATTAGAATGAACGACCAAATTTGCTGGGGCATTTTGTAGCTGGGGCAGTTCCACTGGTACCCATGAGATAGATATCAAAATCAGTAAGAGACCCTACAACAGGTCGTCAAGTGAAAGAGTGAGTGAGTGAGTTGGGTGCTACGCCGCTTTTAGCAATATTCCAGCAGTGGCGACACCAGAAATGGGCTACACACATTGTACCCATGTGGGGAGTGGGGAATCGAACCCGGGTCTTCAGAGTAACGTGCGAACGCTTTAACCCATTGGCTACACCGGTAACAGTCTCGCTGACCAGGTTGTTTCGTGCCCCGTATCCCTGTTGTGTCCACTCTATTATTACAGGCTACTGTCTAGATTAACTCTTCAGTTTTTGAAAATATATAACATTGAGAATTTCATTTTAATAAAGTTTTTCTTTATTTTAAGAAATTCATAAGAAAAACGTAATCATGAGAAAACTTTATTAAAATGAAATTCTAATAAAGATATTAATAAAGTTTTTCTTTATTATCTTCATAAGAAATTCATAAGAAAAACGTAATCATAAGAAAAACCTTATCTAAATGAAATTCTCAGGGTTGTATATTTTCAAAAACCAAAACCATTTCCAGTACGCTGGTCCTACTCTGTGGAATTCTCTCCCTCTCCACATAAAGCAGTCTCCCACATTGGAAACTTTCAAAATTAAGTTGAAGACTTTCTTTTTTCCAAAGCCTATCCCTAAAATCAATCTTTCTGCCATCAATTTTAATGTATACTTATTTTGCTATTTTATCCTCTGTATGCATTGTATGTATGCTTTTATGTAGCGCCTTGAGCATGTATCAGTGGGTGGAAAATGACGCGCTAAAAATATCCATTATTATTATTATTTATTATTATTTAGTGAGATAAAAGTGGACTTGTTCCATTGAAAAAGTGAAAATAATATGGTCCAGGGACTGTGAGACATACTAGTCCCCGTCATTTAGCCGTGGCTGACGGCGTTAAACAAGAGACAAAACACAATAAACTATGATGGACATTCGGATCCACTCGACGTAGTCCAGCTCCTTCCGAACACGTCCGACTGCAATGAAGTAGCGGTATTGTGAGACTCGTGTCAGTATCATATACCCATAATTCTCGTTTGGGTAGCGATGCTTAACGAGAGTTTGTATTGTATCCCGCAGCGCGCCTTATCCACGTTTCATTAACCGATTTGTGGCACTGGTAACGGGATTTTGCTGGGCGGCGTTTTTGTCAAAGCCAGGTGGTGCCTGTCATTGGTCGCTTGGCTGGAGCGTTTGACAGAGTGGTTTTATTGAGGAATGTCTTCATATATTAGATCAAAGAGCTTTTTTAGTGAGTGAGAGTTTAGTTATCACGACGGGGGACACCAGAAATGGGCTTCACACATTGTACCCATGTTGGGAACACGCTTCGGTGTGACGAGGGGACGCTTTAACCGGAGGGCTACCTCACCATGCTCACCGTTCAAAGAGCTTTTTGAGTTAGTGAGTGAATGTTGTCTCACGCACCAGCTAGCAATATGTCAGCTATATCCCGTCTGACTGGCTTCCCTATAACATCACAGTACTAATCCCCAATTGTACTGTACAAACGCCTGTATATATTCTTCGATCTCTATCGTCATTCTGTTCATCACTTGTTTCGTCACGCCGAAGACCCGGGTTCGATTCCCTACGTGGTACAATGCTGGACGCTCATTTCTGGTGTCACCCGCCGTGATGTTGCTGGAATATTGTAAAAGCGTCGTAAAACTAAACTCAGTCAGTGATCACTGGCTTGATAATGGTGTTGGAACATACACGGAAACGTCGCTCCCACTGTAATAAAGAGTGAGAGAGTGAGGGAGTTTAGTTTTACGCCGCAATCAGCAATATTCCAGCTATATTTTCATATTGCGATATATTGCGATGCGGAAGCATATATTGCGATATTTATTGAGTTAACTTATAATCGAGTTAATGCTTGATTATAAGCAAAAACACAACAAAATCACTATGATTGATTAACCGTTTATAAAAACTTTTAATCATGACAAAATAAAAATGTAATTAACATTTGGCACTAATGAAACAGGGAAAAGAACAATTCAAAAAACGGAAATATCCGAAGATTTCCGAGTGTTACGAAGTTTACGATGTCAAAATACCGGTTTTCGATCAGCGTATCGAAATACGTATCGTTTTCATGTCTGAACCGGTAAATACCGGTAAACCGGTTATATTGCGCAGCCCTAATTCTAACCCGGACCTTCACAGGTCACTGTAATAAAGTAGTTGTTCATCCATATATTGCCATCCTTCCTTATTGATCCAACTTCTAAATGCCTCTCAAAGACGTTACATGTGCATTACTTCGGGGTTTTATCCCACATGAAACTGACACACCACGATATAATGGGTATACTAGGGAAAGAAGCGTTAAACCGAGCTGCTCTTTAAATTCCTTTAATTCTTTTCCAGAAATATCATCAGTGCAAACTCCAAAACAAGTTCGAGTTGGGCCATCGTCTCTTCCCGGGGCAGGTCTCGGCGTGTTCTCGACCACGTGGATCAAAACGGGAACTGAGATGGGGCCGTTCATTGGTCGAGTTGTCAGCAGAGAGAATATGGACTGCAGCAGCGAAAACGCCTGGGAGGTTGGCATGCAACACTGTTTATTGTTTCCTTTATGAAATAGATATAACAAAATTAAAAAATAAATAAACTTCGATAGCCTGTGTGATTCCGGGGATCTAATTGCTCTTCGCAGGGTGGTCTAAAATCAGGATTAGGTGGTTACAATGTGAGACCAAGATGATTTCATCGTACCTCTCGGTATTTTCCTAGTCCAGGTTGCATTTGTGATCTATCTGGGATATCACTGACCGCGGCGTAAAACTATATTCAAGCGATCTCATATTCACAGATCCCCATGGTAACAGGCATAGTTATGGCTTAGATATAATACAACAGTATTAATTCATTCGATAATGAACAGAATATTCAGAGCATTTAAAACCGCCTCCGTGGTGTAGTGATTAGAGCGTCCGCCCGGAGAGCGGAAGGTCGCGGGTTCGATCCCCGACCGCGTCATACCAAAATACGTTAAAATATGGTACTTGTTGGTCCCTGCCTGGCGTTCGGCATTAATGGGTACATCAAGGACTGGTCGGTTCGGAGTCAGTATATTGTGTCTGAGTGGGGTATTCATGCTTCACTGCGGCATGGTATCTCAGTGGTCTAGCACTATAAAACCAGCTTCTGTCTGGGCTAGTACAAGCAGCCGCACATACACATACACACGCATGCACGTCGTCATATGAGCGAAATATTTTCAAGCACGACGTTAAACCCAATTTCACCTCACTTCAGAACATTTAAGGCTGAATGTTGGGTAATAATATCCGTACATTCGATTTTCAAACTGGAATTTTGATGACTTGCGTAAAACATCATCCACTTACAACCATTTTTCATTTTCAGATTTTTGACGACCAGGGCAACATCTTGCTATACATAGACGGGGGGACAGAACATCCCCGGGCCAGCTGGCTCTCTTATGTCAACTGTGCCAGGAACGAGCAGGAACAGAACCTTGAGACATTCCAAGTCGGAAGGAACCTATTCTACAGAGCCATCAAGGTACGTTGTTTTCCGGTGTAGATACACAGGGTAGTTCTGAAAGGCACCAAATGCCCCATGTCTGCCTGCCAAAGAGGAAATTACTATGGGGACTTGTGGTCGGGATCGGCCTTTTCACAAAGCTGTTTTAGCTAAGATTTGTGTCTAAGATAATCGAGTCGATATGTTTGGAACAGCTTCTATAACAGCTCTTAGGTTGGTTGGTTGGTTGGTTTGTCGCTATACGCCGCATTCCAGCTACATTGTATACACTAATCGCCAAAAGAAACGTTACCCTCCTTCCTTAGTGACGGAGACCGCCTCCGTGGTGTAGTGGTTAGAGCGTCCGCCTGGAGAGCGGAAGGTCGCGGGTTCGATCCCCGACCGCGTCATACCAAAAGACGTTAAAATATGGTACTTGTTGGTCCCTGCCTGGCGCTCGGCATTAATGGGTACAACAAGGACTGGTCGGCTCGGAGTCAGTATAATGTGTCTGAGTGGGGTATTCATGCTTCACTGCGGCATGGTATCTCAGTGGGCTAGCACTATAAAACCAGCTTCAGTCTGGGCTAGTACAAGCAGCCGCACATACACATACACAGGCATGCACGTCGTCATATGAGCGAAATATTCTCAAGCACGACGTAAAACCCAATTTCACCTCACCTCACCTTAGTGACGGAGGTACCTATCTTCAGCTAGCGTTGTGATGCGTTGACGGCCACTTCTTGGTCTGTCTACGGTGACCCCAGTCTGTCTGAAGCCCTGAATAATTCTTAGGGTATGAGGGTAACGTTTCTTTTGGTGTTTAATGTATGGCAGCAGTCTGTATATAATCGAGTCTGGACCAGACAATCCAGTAAACTAACAGGTCAAGACCAGCTTGGCAGCCGTATAAATATCTATAGCAAAGACGTCGTTGTAACTGTCAATAAGGAAGCTGTTATCCATAAATGGTGTTTTCTTTGTAAACAAGGGTTGTTTTCTATTCCAGGACATTCCCCCACAACAGGAGCTGTTGGTTTGGTACGGAGCGTCCTTCAACTTGTATATGGGTATTCCGTCTCTGGGTCACCATGCGCCAGAGGTCAAGGACGTGTCACCTGCAGGTTTGTTTCACTCACTGTTCACTTCAACGCATACTAACTGACTTATCTACGTTTGACGTATCTGATTTGTTTGTCCCCCGCCGTGATATTGCTGGAATATTGCTAAAAGCGGCGTAAAACCATACTCACTCACTCTGATTTGTTTAGTATTTGTTTAGTATCTGATACATTAATGTTATCAAATTTGTTTAGTTTTGCAAAATATATAATTAGCTGGAGAAATTGAGCAGATATTTGGCTTCAGTTTCTAATAGCATGCCCCCTTCTTCTCCAAACAGAAATCATAAGCAGAGTAACACTAGGATGGGCTACAGATGGGAATCGTCGTGACGAGCGAACGTACCCATCCCTGGGCCCGTCCATCATCGTTGTAGAATGGTACGGTGGGTTAGCCTAGGTGTTAAGGCGTTCGCGAGTCACGAACGTTTTCGATCCCTTAGGGTACACCCCACGCCCCTCTCTCACAAACTTAAGTACATTATAAGCCCGTCCATCATTTCAGGTGTAGAATGGTACGAGAATATGGTGGGTTAGCCTAGTTGTTAAGGCGTTCACTCGTCACGCCAAAGTCCCGGGTTCGGTTTCCTATGTGGGTACAATCTGCGAAGCCAATTTCTGGTGTCCTCCGCCATGATATTGCTGGAATATTGCTAAAAGCGGCGTAAAACAATGCTCACTCAGTGAGCTGAAGTTTGGCCTGTGATATGGTTGAAAGTACCAAATTGATTTGTGAAACAAAACTTAAGTTTCTGAAACTCCCACTTTCAGACCCAAAGTGTCAACATCAGCATCAGCATGAGCATCAGCAGCATCAGCAGCATCAACATCAGCATCAGCCGTCCCTCCCGAAACAGACGCCGATCCCCGCCACTAAATTAAAGTGTGTGTTGTGCAGGCGGGGGTTCAACTCCAGGAGTAACCTCCGCTCGCACATGCGCATCCATACCATGGAGAAACCGTTCGTATGTCGATTCTGTGACCGGAGGTTCAGCCAGTCTTCCACACTCAGAAACCATGTCCGTCTACACACAGGTAGGTGCGACCAAACACTGGAACAATTTCATATGTGTGATAAAATTTAAAAAAAATAATATAGTTTTGTTTTGTTTCTTTGCATATATATGATGTTGCTGTTAGTTGTTGCAGTCTGTATTAATTTCAACCAACGAAAAAGACAACTAAAGTACTGTCGGAAATAGAAAAAACTGTTTTTAGGCTGTTACTCTGTATCTCTAAAATGTACACAATTGCAAATAGCATATGTCGAAATAACCCGCATCGGCCTAACTGGGCGTTCAGTGGGATGCGTAATAAGATATCCAGAAAAGCATGTTTACTCGTAAAATCGGGCAAAACTTAGAAAAATTACGAACAGCTGCTGAAAACAATAGATCAGACTATAGATGGCAATTAGGTCGCTCAGCCAGGTATGACAATGGACCATCAACTCACTTGGCATGAAATGCACGTGCTGCCCACAGACACAAGGGGTCATCTCAAATATCTTTTATGCTTTTTCATGTGTATTGAATCTATCTATCTATCATATTATCTAATCTTAGCTAATATCTCTATCCCCAAGCCCGACCCCAACTACCGTCAGAAACACCCGTCTTGGTTTTGCTTTTGAGACGACCCCTCCTACCTGTTTCATTTTATAGTGACAGTGAGACTCCATGGTAGCTACATCCTTCATAGTTTCAGTATTAAAGTTATTATTGTTTATGTCAGCTATCGTTTATAATGAAGCTAAGTTTAATTTCAAAATGGACATTAAAAAATTGTAAATACGAATAGCTGCTGAAAACAATAGATTAGACTATAGATGACAATTAGGTCGCTCAGCCAGGTATGACAACGGACCAAATCAACTCACTTGGCATGAAATGCAACGTGCCCCACGGAGCACAAGGGGTCATCTCAAATATATTTTATGCTTTTTCATGTGTATTGAATATGTCTCTACTGATTATCTAATCTTAGCTAATATCTCTATCCCCAAGTCCGATAGCCCTACAACTGTTTCCGTCAGAAACACCCGTCTTGGTTTTGCTTTTGAGACGACCCCTCCCAATTCGTTTCCTTTTATACTGATACAGTGAGACTCCATGGCAGGTACATCCCTTCATAGTTTCAGTAATATTAAAGTTATATTGTTTATGTCAGCTATCGTTTATAATGAAGCTAAGTTTAATTTCAAAAATGGACATTAAAAAATTGTATCCAGAAAAGCATGTTTACTCGTAAAATAGGGCAAAACCTTAGAAAAATACGAATAGCTGCTGAAAACAATAGATTAGACTATAGATGGCAAATTAGGTCGCTCAGCCAGGTATGACAACGGACCGTCAACTCACTTGGCATGAAATGCACGTGCTGCCCACAGACACAGGGGTCATCTCAAATATCTTTTTATGCTTTTTCATGTGTATTGAATATGTCTCTACTGATTATCTAATCTTAGCTATTATCTCTATCCCTTAAGCCCGACCCCAACTACCGTCAGAAACACCGGTCTTGGTTTTGCTTTTTGAGACGACCCTCCTACCTGTTTTCTTTTATATACTGATAGTGAGACTCCATGAGTAGCTACATCCTTCATAGTTTCAGTAATATAAAAGTTATTATTGTTTATGTCAGCTATCGTTTATAATGAAGCTAAGTTTAATTTCAAAATGGACATTAAAAATTGTCCTTTGTAATATAATATCATCGCACACTAATTTGCATAAAGCCATGGCCTGTTCCAAATAAGTCGCTTTGGACTTGGAAAAAAACCGCATTTCTCATTTCTGGACTAATCTCTCCTCAGTAAAGTCCTTTTTCTACGTTTCCTATCTCCCTACCACTAAGACTGTAGTTAGGCCGAACTTAGTTCAACAGATATTTCACACTTATACTATTAACTACATAAATTGTAGATATCAATGCGAAAAAACCAGTTTTTTCTATTTCCGACAGTACTTTTAGTTCGATAGGAAGCGAAATATCCCATTTCAGTGACATCTTTATGTCACCTTATGGTTGTTTTATCAAATAGCTTCTGTAGTGTAACTGTCGCTGAAATCTACAGTTATTTCCCCTATTTGGTCAATAAAGTGCACATTTTGTTTGGTTTGTTTGTTGTTTAGCGCATTGGGGCGTGTAAGGTACTCTTAGTGGTTAAAGCGTTGGCTCCGTCACAACGAAGACCCGGGTTCGAATCCCCACATGGGTAAAATGTGTGAAGCCCATTTCTGGTGTCCCCCGCCGTGATGTTGCTGAAATATTGCTAAAAGCGGCGTAAAACCAAACTAAGTCAGTCAGTTTAACGCCGCACTCGGAAATATTCCAGCTATATAGCGTAGGGCTGGAACGTTTCGGTTCGATTCATCGAAAATCTAATCTGACACCTTTGTTTCGATTTTCGATAACCATTACCACTAATTCTATTCGATATTTGAATACCTATTTAAAATATTTCCACAGAGCCAGTACGAAATTTTGACTCCAACTCGAGCTGTTTCGAGCTCTGAAATAAGGCGAAACGTGATTGGTTGACGCCGGGCTAATTATCCAATGAGAATTGTTGTTAGTAGACATCGCCAAGTTGATGATGGATTTTATGCTAAAAAAGCCGACTCTGAGAGTTAAATGAAATCTGATGTTTTTACTTGTATGAAGAATCGAATCGAACCGAAAATGATCGAATGTCCAATATCGAAAATCGAATCGAATCGAGGTCTGGGTGAATCGTTGCTGCCCCTAAATAGCGGCGGTCTGTAAATAATCCAGTCTGGACCAGACAAGCCAGTGTCACCGATTGCGTAGATCGATACTCATGCTGTTGATCACCGGATTGTCTGTTTGAGACTCGATTATATGAAGACCGTATATAAAATCCCCGGTCAAATGGCTTGAATATTGCTGGAGTGCGGCGTTAAACAAAATAAAGACAAATCCACGTTATTACATCATTATATCTTTTTCCACGTAAAGAGAAGATAGATGCCATTTCACAATTTGTGCGATTTAAAAGATATTTAACACTAACGTAAATGCATATATTTGTGCTTCAGGAGAGAAGCCGTACAAATGTACAGTCTGCCAGAGCTCGTACAGTCAGCTGGCAGGGCTGCGCGCGCGCATCAGAAGAGCGCGAGACATCGACCACAAGCCAATCAGCAGTCACACACGTGACATCTGATATTTCCTTTACCCTAATAATAACCACCACCGAAAAGAAAAAATGTGAAACATATTTGCTAAATATTCTGGTGTTGAGAACTGAGAATACTCTAGGATCGATACGATCGATTATATACATTCATGTATATACATACATATATATTTATGATATCCACCGACCTATGTGTTTTCACTGGGGTAGAAACCGGACTATTTAAAGTGTTCCGCAAAGCAAAGCACTTGTCAGTTTCCATATGCAAAATTGACATTGTGATATATACAACCGAAGTCAACTGCAACCGCTTAGTTTAATATCACCCGCTGCAAATGTGATCGAGACCAGCTGAATGACGCTCAAGGATGTAGGAGTTGTCTCCTTGAAACAGACCGCGACCACAATAAACATCACGACCAGAACGACCAGTGCAGCTCTCTAAACAAAGAATGGCAGAGCAATCATTCATGGATGCCACTTTCCTTCCTTTGGATATATTATTCGGTGAAATGAACATCAATAGAATTATGTTGTTATTATCGACCAGTGCCTTACATGTCAGCGTTCCCGATGAGTGAGTGAGTGAGTATGGTTTTACGCCGGTTTTAGCAATATTCAAGAAATATCACGGCTGGGGACACCAGAAATGGGCTTCGCACATTGTACCCATGTTAGGAATCGAACCCTGGTCTTCGGCGTGACGTGCGAACGCTTTAACCACTAGGCTACCCCACCGCCCCTGTTCCCGATGATGTTGCATACATGGACATTAGCCGCAACACGCCTTGGTCGAAGACTTCACATACTTGGCCATTCCTTATACTTTCATACCGTATATTTCTGTAAATACATGTGCCGCTTACACGTGTATCTACACATTATTATGTTTGCATTTGTAAATAAATATTTATACTTCCTCATTTGAGTATTGTCTTTGTTTTTCTAAGTTATTGTCCTTGTGGGTGAAGTGAGCTTAGTTTTACGCCGCACTCAGCAATATTCCAGCAATATGGAGGCGGTCTGTAAATAATCGAGTCTGGACCAGACAATCCAGTGATCAACAACATGAGCATCGATGCACGTAGTTGGGAACCGATGACACGTGTCAACCAAGTCGAGTCTGACCATCCGATCCCGTTAGTCGCCTCTTACGACAAGCATGGGTTACTGAAGATCAATTCTAACACGGATCTTCACGGGTTATAGTGAAACAAGATTTTAAGTATATTACTGTGTGGTATCACATTATCGAGAGTTTAATATTATAATAACAGTCAGTTAATCTTTTGACTTAAATGTTCAGTTATTACAGGTGAGGTGAGGTGAGGTGAATTTTTCGCTCATATGACGACGTGCATGCGTGTGTATGTGTATGTGCGGCTGCTTGTACTAGCCCAGACTTAAGCTGGTTTTATAGTGCTAGCCCACTGAGATACCATGCCGCAGTGAAGCATGAATACCCCACTCAGACACATTATACTGACTCCGAGCCGACCAGTCCTTGTTGTACCCCTTAATGCCGAGTGCCAGGCAAGGACCAACAAGTTATAGTCCGTTTGACTCAAAAGCGGACCGATGAATTACAATCTAACTCGAAAACTAATAAACATAAAATACTCAATGAAACGCTGATCATAATCAAAACATCATACTAACTCATGAGGGTTTTGCAGAATTTTTGTCCTAAAATAAAAAGTTGTTTTAACAATCTATCATTAAAAATATTGACACAGTTTACTATATGTTACGAGGGCGAGGAGTGCAGAGATAAGGACAAAATTCTGCAACAGCCAGGTGTTCGAGAACGGATGGATGACGGCATCAGCACAGGTTAATGAATAAATAATTCTTGTGTCTAGAACGTGCTTCTCTAACACGAACATGCCTATTCATCATGCTGGTGACCTTAGTCTCTGCACTCCTCCCTCGACTAACAAACGCAAAACTGTGTCCATAGAACTATGAAAATCAAACTTCAGTTCTGATGGAGGAATGCGGCAGCGGTTTTTGGATGATATTGAGCAAGATATTTTTGTTTTAAAGATATTTTGAAGTAGGTGACATTTGGTGCGGAACTGGGGGTTGATGTGTTCAGCTTCCTGTGCTCGAAAATAGAGCAGGCTAAGCTAGCCGATTTGTGGTTGTATTGTAGTTTAAAGGCTAGCATCGTAATAAATGATTTAAAGGAAATATAACGTTACTAACAACGTCCCTCACCCCTAAAAAAACCCCAGCTCCATTGAATATGACTATTTTATGAAAAAAAATTCTCTGATAAATGACAACAAATACCTGTCGTCATCGTTCCACATATACAGTAGCTGAAAAACCCAGGAGAAACCAGTTTCAGAAACCAAAACCAGTTTCTCTGCAAATAATCGAACAGGCCCTTCTTAGTCTATTACTGAAACCTGTTACGATAACAAATTCAGTCAATATCATTTCTGGCGCGCGTTTTAAGTGTGTGAGGTAGGAGAGGGACCACTTTGCCAACTTAAACAGGTTAAAACTTAAATTGTCTTAACTGGTATTAAATTAGAATTTAAATGTATATTAAATTAGATTGTCCTGTTTTATATCCTTACAAACCTCCAAATTCATTAGTTTCGACATGTTCTAGCCTATAGTTCGCATTCAGTGTTAACGATATCTAACGATATCGATATCTATTCATACTAAAATATTTGATAGCTCCAATCACAATTTCAAAACAGTTTGCTGATTTCAATGGTCCTATCTCGTCCTTTAAAGTGTCAGATCTGCGCCCCTTGTGCACGTCAGGAGAGGATGGTCGTAAGGTCGCATTCCGCTAGTTTTCATCCTACCCGTGGGGCGGTGGGGGTAGCCTAGTGGTTAAAGCGTTGGCTCGTCACGCCGAAGATACGAGTTCGACTCCCCACATGGGTACAATGTGTGAAGCCCATTTCTGGTGTCCCCCGCCGTGATGTTGCTGGAATATTGCTAAAAGCGGCGTAAAACCAAACTCAGTCAGTCAGTCATCCTACCCGTACTCGTGAGTGTCACAATATCGGTAAATATCTAAGACTTCACATTAAAATGACGCTCCGTGATTTAACTTGAATACAGTTCAAAGTCGGGTTAAACCTAACTGACTTACCGTTTGCAAAGGAGCCTTATCGCATATTTTCCTTTACACATTATGAGTAAAGAGTTTGTACATCACAAAATAATAATATTATTCCTATCGAATTCGCATCGGAACACATGGTACACTGGAAGAAAGGTTTCCATTATTCAAAGTTTCATACAATCTTTTCCTAATCTTTGAAATAACGAATAACTGAGCGTTATCGTTCCATTAGATTGACAACCATGGAAAAATCCAAGCTTTGGACGACTAAGGTTGTTTTTTTTGTATGTGTGGATGAGTATACACGTCTTTGTGTTTGCCCGCAATAACCTGTGTGTGATAATGTCGAGTTTTTTACTGAAAGCATGTCAGGGTTTGAGTGAGAAGATGGTGAACAGAATGACAGTGACGAACGAGATAATGAAATTCGTCTCAGATGATACAGTAAATCCTAAAATTTAAACGGATGAGAAACTGCAGTCTGGTTCACTGGGTATGTAGCGCTGACGCTTCTCTGCGACCAACTCGTGTTATTCCGGGACAAGCCAGGTTACGGAAAGAGGCGAGTGGTGCCCAATTGTGGCGCTACAGAGAAGCACCAGCTCAGCAAACCTTAAGCGAATGAATGTTGAATAACGCCGCATTATCTTCAATATTCCAGCAACACGGCGGCTGTCTCTCTGGTCACAGACAAGTATGGGAGACAAGGGATCTGTTTGTCCCTGCACTCAGCACAGAAGGACAGTTTGAGGGCTGGGAATGAAAAATGAAATGGAATAATAGAGACACAAAATATAAACTGCTTCCTTGGTTTGCTACAGATCCGCCAAATACAAAATAAGGGCTTTTCCTTGTCCTGTCTTACCATAAAACCTAAGATGGGAACAGTGAGCGAAATAGCCGCTGGCCCGCTAGCCTGTGGCTAGTAAAAATCCAGTCGGACCAGACATTTCCACAGTCACTGGCCCGACTGGCTTTTGAATTTTCGTGGGGTCATTTTTATAAATATCACTTTCTCCAACTTATTAACTTATAATACACTTTTAAATCATGCAAGATTATGGCCTGATAAATGATGGTATATTACCTTTTTGTAATATTTTGCTTAGTTTCTAGATTTGAATTTCGGGCTAGTGAATTATTTTGTGGGCTTGTAACTTTCAGGCATAGCAAGCCCGACTGGCTAGTAAAATTTGGAAACTACTTCGCGCACTGGATGGGAAGGGAAGTAACTCTGTCTCGTTATATAACCAAATCAAGAGGCCCATAATCTCATTAAGAGCCAATACTCCTAAATCAAATTGGCTAAAGTACGCACAACTGTGGTTAGAGTTACCCTAAGTCTGTATTGACATCCAGAAGAAGCAATTCATGCAGCGCGATTCTGTAACTCGTGTAACTTAAAATGAGATTGAGGGTACGCTTCAAACACTCCTTAGACAAAAGTGATTGTGCACTCACCAAATATCTCAAATAGCTGTATCCGCCCCTGCTGACTGATCGATTATGAACAAATATATTTTAAAATCGTTTTTATTATTTTAGAAAAACTCTAAACGAGTTATGGTGCCGACACGCCAAGGATCATCATCGAAAAAACCTTTGTATTTGAACAGACGATCCGAAGGGGTCTTGGATTGCTAAGGGAGGCTACTCTACAGCTCATATATGAAGTTGTAAAGGAAACAACCCAACAGCTATTAAGGCTCATTTACTAAAGTACTGTCGGAAATAGAAAAAAACTGTTTTTAGGCTGTAACTCTGTATCCCTAAAATTGACACAACTGCAAATAGCATATGTCGAAACAACCCACTTCGGCCTAACTTAGCATTCAGTGGGATGCGTAATAGGATATCCAGAAAAGCATGTTTACTCGTAAAATCGGGCAAAACTTAGAACAAATACGAATAGCTGCTGAAAACAATAGATCAGACTAAGATGGCAATTAGGTCGCTCAGCCAGGTATGACGACGGACCGCGGACTCACCT